GGGGTGTCTTTTCCAACAGATTAGAAATGGCTTGCCCACAAAATTTAAAAGATTTTAAAAGCACAAAATTTAATCATATTGTGAGTTAATTATTAATAGATGAAAAATTTGTTGGGTTTGTAATTACTGTACAAACTATTTCAGACAATTTGCTTTAGTTTAAGCCCCTTTAACTATTCGCGCAAACTTACATTTTTTCCTAAAAATTAGATATTTGCATGCTAATTAATGTCTTTGCCTAATTTGTATATGTCAGCAATATGCAAATTAAGTAAAGCCATTAATTAAGCATGCGAAAGGCTGATTTTTTAGGGAAAAATGAATAGTTAAAGGCTTCAACTAAAGCAAACTGTCTGACATTTTGTATAGTAATTAAAAACCCAACAAAGTTTCCATCTATTAACTCAAAATATGATTAAAGCTTTTAAATTTCGTGCGCAAGCCATTTTTAGTTTGTTGGAAAAGACCCCCCCCCCCTGGTTCACAGAATTTGAGTTTGAGAAATGTTTTTCATTATTCTACATTATAAGTACCCAAGGAAGTTATATACATCAAAAACTGCATGCTAATCGCTGTTTTGCAAAATTGAGAGCAAATTCATATCTGTTCAGTTTTTTTTTATACACCCTGTATAAAAGAAAGAAATTTTCCGTGTTGATATTAAGTTTTAGTATTTTTGCACAAGTGAACATAACAAATCCTACAAGGTGATTGGTCAAATTTGACGTATTAATTAACAATTATTCGCCGAAGGCGAGGTGATTATCGGTGAATAAAAACCGAGACGAAGTCGAGGTTTTTATTCACGATAATCACCGAGCCTGAGGTGAATAATTGTTTTAGTATAATTTCATAGGTGATTATTTGGAAAAAAAATTTTAAATGCACATTTATTCGTCTTTTAATTGACAAAACGGCTTCGGCCGCCATTTTGAAAATCGCTTAGGTGATTATCGCGTAATAATCACCTCAACGGTAACCAATCAGCGTGGAGAATTTTCAATAATCACCTATGTAATTATACTAATCTGTTATATTCACCTACAGATGAATATAACAAAATCGAAATTTTCAAAATGGCGGCTAGACGTTTTGTTGAAGTTATAGCGAAATTAAAATGAATTCAGACCAGAAAACACAAAAAAGCTTGTGCAAAAATACTAAAACAATTATTCGCCTCAGGCTCGGTGATTATCGGGGAATATTCACCTCGACTTCGTCTCGGCGAATATTCCCCGATAATCACCTCGCCTTCGGCGAATAATTGTTAAATATCAACATGCCTGGCTCTTAGCCAATCAGCGTTCAGAATTTACAAATGCTATATTATATAATTGTAGTTTTAAACTGTTGGGCCCTGACGAAAATTGCTTTGTGTAAATTCAGTCACCCAATGAAAATATATATATGTTATTTACCGGATTGGAGGTCCGTATAGAGAAATATTTCTCGAGGTCTTAAAAACGGCCCGAGGCCGAAGGCCGAGGGACGTTTTTAAGACCGGGAGAAATATTTCTCTATACGGACCGACCATACCGGTAAATAATATTTTTATTTTTTTTTTAATTCCTCCTCTGGATAATTTCCCCAATCACTCCTCCCGCACGCGAATGAAGCTGCCAAATAAAACGTCGTTTCTATCAATGCTATCGGGAAGAGTAAATCTTTTGTGAGATAGTAAAGTTCGCTTTCACTGTGTTTTTCATCGTCTGCAGACATTTTAATATTTTAAAAAGTAGCCTTTAAACTCGTCTTTAAATTTTGAAAAATAAAAACATTGGCTCTACGGTTTTAAATCTCGCGCGGTCCGTACGGGCTCATACGGACCGCTCACGTAGCCAATCAGATTGCAGAAAAGCGTAAAATATGACTTCGGACCGCAAGAAAAAAAAATAAAGTGTATTATTAGTTTATTGCACTGCAAAACGTTTTGACTCAAAAACTCGAGTAAAATAATGCATCCACAGTGACTCAATAGCCATACTTCAAAACACATGACTCAACTGAATACTGAATAAAATGACTCAAATTTATGAAGAAATTTACTCATTGTTTTGAGAAAAGTGAATCTTCACAAAAATTGAGTGAATTTACTGAAAATAGATTGCATATAGGAATATATAGCAGTTTATAAATGCAAACGCACGTGCTGCTTAATTTATAATGGTTACATTTTGGAAAATTGGTTTAACTTAATATTATCAAACTTTCGCCCTATATGAATGAACATTTGCTCAAACTAGTGTCCAGTCGCTCAATGTGAAGTTACAGACGCTCCATTTTAGGCTCAGTGTAAGATTAGCTATGCTGAACTGGTTTTGTAATACCTTCTTTAAATAAAGCTCATTATTTAATATTATTATTATTATATGGCGGAGAGACCAAAGCCCACGCTTCGAGATTTCCCGAGCATAAACGTCAATTATAATGATGCAGAATAACTAAAAAGTACATTTTACTAAACGCAAAATCATTACAATTGTTCAACACTTATCTGGATTCTGGTATACAATATATAAAGACATATAAG